TATAATATAATACAAACTAATAGCATAAAAATGAAAAAAATGGCACAAAATCATTTACCATATATAAGAGATTCTCCCAATATATAAACCTACAATTAAAATGAAACAATTAGTTTCAGTGCAAATTAAAACTCTAAATTAGTAGAATTATACATAATATTTAAAAAATTATAATAAAATAGAAGAATTGAGCTCGGTTACATTAAGTAAGGTCTCGAGTTCGAGTATTTTGAATAGAGAAACACTCGTTGGGAGAGCTTCCCCCCTAATGGGGTCCAACGCGGCTCAATTCGGGATTAGTTGGGATCTAATGTGGTTATCAGATACTAGAAGGTTAATACAAAAAAAAAAAATGAATCTTGAAGAAAAAGAAGAGAAATGGCACAATGACAAGAGAAATATTATGGGTGATATATATATATAGAAACATTTACTTAAGCCAATATGATTTGCTATAACATTGCTGACACAGATAATAATTCAATCAAAAGTGGTGGGAAGACTCAGTGGGTTACGAAAATTTTTGAAAATTTTGCATCAGTTAGCATCAGTAATAAGTTGTTGATTTAAAAACCTAAAAAAAATCCAACCATATGATTTATGAAAGATCTCATAAAAAAGTCTACTTCTCTAAATACGAGACACCTCATAAAAAAGACTTATAAACTTCCATATCATTATATTAATCCTTTTGGCAACATAACATATTTCATCCAAATAAATAAAAAACTAAACCTCATTTGCATATTTATTTGTGTACAAACACTTGATGTACAATACAATTTTAAACCTATTTTAATCCATTCAACTTAATATAAGTGTATATAGATCAAAATAATAAGTTCAATTGATATTTAAATACTATTAAGTTTAGAAACATGTAAAATACAACAAAAACAATATAACAAATCCTAGATTAAGCCCAACATCCTCATCAACATTTGGTCAACATAAAGTATTTACTCATTACCCACATCATCATCACCACCATCATCATCAAATTCAGAACAATCTGAATGTAGAAATCTATCAAACCTATTTTTTTGTTGAGTTGCTGATAAGTTTCTGATATGCCTAATGAACTATTAAGTTGGGTTTCATGTGGTACAAAAACGTTTGGAATATTACCAACACCAAACCTATGAGAACTACCACTACCAGACTTATAAGTATTGGCATACATGTTATGATATCCCTATCACTACAAACAAAATGCCCTATACCAACGAAAGTTTATACCAACGGATAAAAAATCCGTCTGTATAGGTCATATATACCAACGGAAAACTTATGCCGTTAGTATACATAGGTCTATACCAACGGAAAAATATATCCATTAGTATAGGCCTGGGTCTGTACCAACGGAAAAATATATCCATTAGTATAAACGTAGTTTATACAGACGATTTAACAATTATCCGTCTGTATACAGTGTATCTATTCCAACGGCAATTATTATATGTTTGTATAAATACATCTTTACAAACGGATTACTGCTCTGTCTGTATAATATATTCCTATTCCTTAACCACTTTCTTTTAGCTTTCCCACCGCAGAGTCCCCAATTTCCCTCTTTATTTTTGCTTCCCACCGCCAGAGTACCCAATTTCCCTCCCTAATTTCCGAGCTTCCCTCCCTAATTTCTGAGCTTCCCTTCCCGGTAGACTAACCTAAGTAATTTCTGAGCTTCCCTCTCTAATTTCGAGCTTCATTTCTGCTAAAATCATACTCCCCTCCATAGATTCCCCATTTTCCATCCCTAATTTCTGAGCTTCCCTTCCCGGTAGACTAGACCCAAGTAATTTCTGAGCTTCCCTCTCTAATTTCGAGCTTC